TCGCCCTGCGGCCCGTCCTGCCGCCCTGCATCCAAACTCGGGCCGGCGCGGAGCTGCCGCAGGCCCCGGGGCAGCAGGAAGTTAATCTCATGAACTCCCCACGTCAGGCAACAGGTTATGACTAAGTCCCGGTGGAAAAATCTAATTACCGAACCGTAAGCGTTTGGTCTTGCTACCAACTTATTGTAGAAGTCAACGCGCCGGCTTCCACAGGCGGCCAGAAAGTTAAGTTTGGGGAAAAAAATAACTGTGAAAAGAGCCAGGCGGTGGCAGTGTTTGCAAGAAACCTTCCCTTCCCTCCACCTCGTCCTTCCAGCGCAGAGCGCCCCGGCCCAGGACGCCCGACCGCTGTTTGGGCTCGGGCAGCGCGACCAGGCTGTGGGGTGACGGCAAGGCTGGAGGCACCGCTGCTCCTAATTATCTAACCTTTGCCCTCCCGACAAGGCGAGGAGGGGAGGGAAATAAATATTTCAGAAGTCATAAATCCATTTCTCTAAAATACCATTTGCTTCCACAGTTAAACATTTTGACGTCTATTAATAAAGCATGATGAATAGCGTAAATGTTCATTTAGAACGTCAGGCCGCAGCTCCTGGATAATCCCAGCAGCACAACAGGAGAAAATGGCTACTTCCCCTTCCTGCCCTAACAGAGGGAGCAAAAAGCCTCTTAAATCAGACATTATATATGAACTCGAGGACTCTCTCATACTACCTCTAGATCTACAAAAGACAGACCAACCATTAGCTTTAGTGATTTGTTTTTATCTCATAACCCATTAATTCATTCAGCTGTTGTCAAAGTTCTTACAGAAGATAATTGTTGCCTCTGCATACGTCCAGACTCTTTTAATTAAACAAATAATACTCAGGATCCATCACTATCATTCTTACAACAGGGTTTTATCTTCTTTTCTCAGTTGCCTTCCTCAGGGGGATCTAAAGCTCTCCACAAAACTCAAGCAGGCTTCAGATGCCCTTGACATACAAGTTTTGCTTACTGACAGTGAAGAAACTGGGGCACGCAAGACTGGGTTTTTTTCAGAGCTCGTGACAGATGTTAACAGTGGCTGAAGTCAAGGAGAGCTGTGGGTACTTCCTTATTCTGCATGTCAGATCTGCAGCGTTGAAGTAACTCACCCGCAGTCACAAAGAAACTGGAAGCAGGTCGGGAATGTAAACAAGGCTTTGTCTTCCCAGCGCCCGACTTCGCGCCGTATAAACACTACTTTTGATAGCATCCTCTTGGAATAAGGTTGCTGGATTTGCAGTGCAAAGAAGCATGCAAGGAATAAAAGTGCCTGAGAGTTGGGCTTGCCCTTCTGAAAACATTTGAGTAAAAACAATTTAAATCATATAGAAGGCATCGCCTAAATTCAGTATTCACTAAACACCCAGTTCTTCTATACTGTCCTCAATTTAGGTTACGCCCAACAAAAAAGGAAATTCAAAAATAAACTAATTGTTTTTGTTAACAAAAACGAACTTGAGGAAACCCAAGGGAAAGTTAAGTTTTACACCCCATGCCACAGGTCGGAAGTCACCGCACACCTGCGCACAGGTACACAGATGCAGACCGTATTCTGTGAGAGAGAAGCAAGACAGTTTGTCCTGCTCACACCTGGCCTGTGTAGGCTGGAGCTGGGCATAGGATTTGTCTGCAGATGACTAGAGCAGATGAAATAAAATCTGGAGTCGTTCCATCATTTACTTCCCACTTCCCTATGCTGTTTATTGGGACAGACCATTTCTAATACACCTGGGATAGGACTGCAAAGAAAATCATTTGATTGAGAGAGAAAGCCTGATCTTCATCCACTTTGATCAGCTAATTGTGAGTTGCAAGTTGGGGTGAGGAAATAGGGAAACAGAAAGAGAGCTACAGATGCTCAGTTAATCTTTATCAAAAAAAAGCACAGAGAATGAGAAGGAAACAGTGAGGTCTAATACAATAATTGACCATAAATGTATGAAAACATATTTGTAGTCCTGTGGTCTTCAGCCAGCATGTACAGCAAGGTCCCCATTCCTGGTTTCTCTGAACAAATCGACCACTCATTCCTTGCGTGACTTCAGAAAACGCTGCCTTCCTCCTGGTGTTTCTGTCTGGGTTTACCTCTCTGCGCCACGCAAATGATAATTACCTTTTGACTGATTAACGTCTGCCGGAAAACTTTTAGGCCCTTTAGACCAAGACAACTATGGCAGAGCAAAGCTTTGCTGCAGATTCACTCAATATGAGGGCTGACTTCTGCGTGATTTATATACAAACGCAACTCCTGGTGTTTGCTGGATGCTGCATTAGTGTGCCTGGAGGCAAGAGGGAGGCCGTTGGTGTCCGCGTCAGAAAAGGTGCCCACCTGCGCGGCTGCTCAAAGGAGAGCGGTGTGAAGCGTTTCCAGGGCCCAACGAAGATAACGATGAACGCTTAGAAATGGAGGCAGCTATATACGCAGTGTCTGGTTTTGCTCTCCAAGACACAATAAGCTAAGCTCTGGTGTATTATAACTTACGTAATTTGCTTGATTGGACATTTTTAAAGCTCCATCTGCCCGCTTCATGCAGTTGTATTGCTCTCCCTTTGCGGGTTAAGAAGCTTAAACCTAATTACGCGCCCTCCTGGTGCGAAGGTGGTGCAAGTTCCCAGGCTCACAGTGGGCATCTCTGCTGGCTCATAAAGAGCCGCAGGTAGCTGGACTATTCTTGTAACACAAGAGTTATGAATAAATGAAAGAGCACCGAGGCGGCTCAGGCCTCAAGGCTCTGCCGGGGCTATCTGCCGCTGTCAGAGCGCCGCGGTGTTGATCAATTTACTTGGGGACACAGATTTACCAGCACGTGTCCCGATCAGGAGGAGGTAGGAGTATCTTCCCACTTTGTCCAACTTAACTCATCCCCAGAGCACCAGCCCGTTCAATAGCTTGGAAGACCTCTGTCCAGCCGGTATTACTCAGCCAAGCAGGCCACGAAAGTAGGCTACCAAAGTAGGGAGAAGTTAATTTGCTGCTGCATTCCCCACTGGCAAACGTGCAACAGTCAGGGACTAGACAGTTCAGGCCGACCCAGGGCTGCTGATCGATCCAGACGCGAGGAGGTGGAAAAACCTGACCCAGTTATTTCAAGGGAACGTTGTGCCAGTTTTAGCTTCTAGGAACTGCTTCTGAGAGAAACCCAGCCCCAGTACGTTCTCCAGAACAAGTGTCCCGTTGTCCGTGTGCTCCCAGCACGCAGCCCGGCTTCAACGGAAACAAGTATTAAGTGTAATCATCGAGGATCAGGCTTCTGGCCCAGATATGACTAAGCTCCTTCAAAATGGAAAACGCTCAGGATTTCTTGCTTAATAGCTAAACCAGCTTAATTTGATTATTCAGAACATAACCAGGCAGAAGGGAGGAATTGACACACCTAGCTCGTTCCCACTCTGGCTGCTGATTTACTTGAATTCACAGGTCACGTTTTCTGTTGATCACTTCCACCACGTCGCTGCAGCAAGAATCGATGTTTCCTCTTCGCACCCAGCTCTGCCGGGAGGACGAACTGAGCCGCCTTCCCCGAGCACACCCACCTCCAGTGCTTCGGGAGCCCGTGCCATCTTACAACAAAAACGTAACTGATTTAAATCAGCTGGCGTGCACCCTCAAAACCCTCACTTTTTTGCCACCAAGGGCCTCTGCCTTCCCCGCACCACGTCCC